TGAACATGCAAATATGTGGGATGATGTTATGTTAGATTTAAGAAGATTGGCCTGGTTCCAGCTTGATGGTTGTCCAGCTCATTATTCGAGAATAGTTAGAAACTGGCTGGACTAAAATTATCCAGAAAGATGGATCGGCCGTGGTCTGGCCTTCACAATCCCCTGACCTAAATCCATTAGATTTCTTTGTGTGGGGATTTCTAAAAGAAAAAGTGTACCAGACTCCCGTAACCACAAGAGATATGCTAATAGACAGAATCAGGAATGCATGTGATGAAATAAGGCCTTATTTGAATAATGCTATACCACGTTCGATCATTCGTAGATGTGAATTGTGTATTGAACAATTGGGTTTACATTTCGAGAAACTACTTTAGATTTTGTATGTTTGTCCTAACTATCCAATAGCATTTTAGTTGTAAATAATTAATTTAATTTGTTAAAAATAATATTGGAAAAATAAACAAATTAATATTGTTTTTTTGTGTTTATTTGGAGTTAGGAATTATTGCTGTGTTTAAAAACACAATCTAAACGATCATCTTAATTACTTGTAATGCCCAAATCGAAAATGTAAAAAAAAATATTATTTTCCCATAAATAATTAAAAATGCATCGAACCTTAAAAATCGAAATATCTCAAAAACGGCTAACTATAACGAAAACTCACAGGAGAGCTTTTTTATGTTGAAAAGTGCGAAGAATCAGTTTATTTATTCAAAAAGCAAAAAATGCACTAAGAAAATTTTTTCGGTCATTTTAATAAATTACAGGTACACTAGAGAGCGCCCTCTAGCGGCTACAGTAAAACTATGCCCATGGTTTGTTTTGTCGTACCAAAAAACCCTTGTATACCAATTTTCACTGTTATACATCAAATATTGTTCGAAATATTTAAAAAAAACTATTTTAGAAAGTAAATTTAAACACCACGCCACGCATTTTTCGACCCATGTTTATATAGACTTTATGCATTAATTTTAAAAGTTCTATCGAATCTTAAAGTTATGCAACAATAAACTGAAACACCCTGTATTTAATAATTTCGCCTCCAGACGTTAATTTTGTCTTTTGAACTCTATAGTCGCATACGATTGTCCAACAGAAGAAAATCAACCTGCTACGTAGTTCCCAACCAGTGTGTGATTAGTAGGGTAAAAATAGGCTATTTTATATAGCAAATTAACTGTGGAGAGTTGTTCGATGTGGATATAAGTATATATTTGCACCGATTGTTGGATCACATAATTGCACATTGTCCATAGTTATAGGAATATTACAAGATTTTTAAGCATGAGGTACCTTTTTTATAGCACGTGTTCGTGAATACATCCTGTATAAGTGAATTCGGTACTACTTATTTAGCAAACTTGACTTTTATGAATGCTGACGAACTCACAAAGGAATACATTAGTTTTGAAATTACTCTTTTAAATACAGATTGTACAGAAAAGGGTTTTTTACTTTGGTCACAAATAAAATGAACTAAGCATATATGAGATATTTTGTCCACGTATGACCGAAGAGATTATAAGATATAGATAAAAGATGCAAAATAAATTATGTTTACCATTCTCGAAGATAACGAGAACGGAGCAATTTTGCTTCTTCCAAAGATGATTGCGACATATTTCATTTTGTACACCTTAATGTGGATAATGTTCAGGTTAAGTTTTACAGCTTTTGACCATCCACAAAAATAGTACCTGAATTCACTTATACCAAAACGTATTAGCTCAAGAATTCTGCGATCAAATATTGGAATACGGAAAATGTTGCGATGTGGACCAGTTTGCTTTTCCTTTCCTTATTATTCCGCCCTGAAGTTGATATAAAAATTAATATACTAGTGGAACTGGACCAAGTCAACTAAAAGCGTTGAAAAATCACTGCCTTGCTTATTACGACTAATAAGCTATACAATTTCACATAAACCTTTTCTGAAAATGTCTTCTTAGTCCAGAAATTTTTATTCCACTGGCCCATGTAAAACTCAAATTTATTTAATGAATTTTTGTTCTGGAAGAACATGAAAAACAAGGTAATACCATCTACATTATTTGAACAATATTCAAGTTCAATCCTCACCACCATACACCATATACAGGGTGACGGGAAAATATATGCGGAGCCGGTGGGGGGAGATAGTACAAGCCAATCTGAGTCCATTTTACTATAGAAACTACTGTCCGAAAACATTGATCAACAGCCAAAAAGTATCCTAAATAAAATCAACAAAATATTACTATTTTTAATGTGCTAAAACCGGAATAAAACTTATTTTTTCAATATTAGTTCAAGTTTTAGAGATACGGTAATTATATGTGTTCCTGCTGTGACAGTGTTAATATACTGTAATTCACAAGAATGCACGTGCTACATTTTTATATTCGGCAAGGAAAGATGATGTAATCGGCATGATTGTGTTACGTTATACATACATGTACATTATATTGTTTTATATTAGCCATTTTTTCCTCAGTTGGCTGACAGCGTTCATGCAAGATGTCTCGAAAGTGTGTAAACAATCCAGATCAGTTTTGTTACGTGTGTGGTGATGTGACTTTTGCGTCTCAGAGACGGTCTATTACTCCACTAATAACAAAGGCATATCAGCTTTATTTCGGTTGTAAACTAGGTGATCAAGACAAACAGTGGCCACCCCACATCTGCTGTAATACATGTGCTTCAAGTCTGAGGAGCTGGTTAAATGGCAAAAAACGGTCTATGCGCTTTGCTGTCCCAATGGTTTGGAGTGAGCCTACAAATCATATTAATGATTGTTACTTTTGCATGGTACCTTGTGTTGGACATGCCACAGGTATGTCCAAGAAAAAAAAATCGGTTATTTACTACCCAAACATGCCATCTGCGATGAGACCTGTGCCTCACAGTGGCGAAAATCCTATTCCAAAACCCCCAGAATCCTACACTTGCGAATCAGAAAACGAATCAGATCATGGCGATCGAGTGATTCGTCAGGAAGAAGATAACGTCAAGAGATCCTGATTTTATACCGAGCACGTCATGCCACCAACCGCACAAAATAACACAGTCAGAATTAAAAGATCTTGTAAGAGATTTAGAACTTCCAAAATGTAAGGCAGAGTTACTTGGATCAAGACTGCAGCAGTGGAACTTGTTAGAAGACGGTATGTGTTTTTCGTAAACGCCACAAAGACTTAGAACCATTTTTCAATATGGAGAATAACTTGGTTTTCTGCAGTAACATTAACGGCTTACTGGCGGCTTTAAATATAAACTATAACCCAGAAGAATTGAGATTGTTTATAGACAGTTCAACATTGAGTTTAAAGGCAGTGTTATTGCATATTGGAAATATTTTACCATCTCTTCCTGTAGGGTATGCAGTTCACATGAAAGAATCATATGACAATATGAAGTACCTATTGACATGCATAAAATACGATGAGCACCAATGGCATATTTGTGGCGATTTGAAAGTTGTTGCACTTTTACTTGGGCTGCAGCTAGGCTACATAAAGTTTTGCTGTTTTTTGTGTGAATGGGACAGTCGGGCAAAGGCACTTCATTACACCAGACAAAACTGGCCTGTTCGTCAATTTCTAGAGCCAGGTCAAAAAAATGTACAGCATATACCATTAGTAGATTCGAAAAAAAATTTATTACCACCACTGCACATCAAGTTGGGCTTAATGAAAAACTTTGTCAAGGCATTAGATAGAGATGGGTCAGCTTTTCAATACCTGCGTCAGAAATTTCCAAGACTAAGTGAGGCAAAGGTTAAAGAAGGTATTTTTGTTGGGCCACAGATTCGAAATATTTTGAAAGATACACAGTTTGAAAACACTTTAACAGGTATTAAAAAAACTGCTTGGAATGATTTCCGTCTGGTGGTCACTAATTTCTTGAGAAATAGAAAAGCTGACAACTATAAAACCCTTGTCAAAAATATGCTGTCATCGTATCAAAAGATGGGCTGTAATATGTCTCTAAAGATACATTTCCTACACTCACACCTGGACTTTTTTCCTGACAATTGCGGAGCCGTAAGTGATGAGCACGGCGAACGTTTTCATCAGGATATTTCAACAATGGAAAAAAGGTACCAGGGAAAGTGGAATCCTTCCATGCTTGCAGACTACTGTTGGACTCTTGGTACAGATGCTCCAGAAACGATCCATAAAAGAACAGCAAAAAGACAGCGCATATAGTGATTCTTATAAGTATATGAATCTTGTTACTTTTTTTAATATATCCTAAAAAATAAAAAGTTTTTTTTCTAAACCGCTACTAATTTTTTTATTTCATTGCAATTTTTGGATTCAGCGCCCCAAAATTAACAAAGAAGTGCACTTTTCCCACAAGATACAATTAAAAAACTAAAATTTGCTGTCCAGTGTAATGTATATTTGAGCATCAATTTTCGTATTTTAGAATATTTTTATTGTAAAACCAAAAAAAAATCAAACGAAACACCCAATTTTCAAGTCTTATGACTTGGTTAACGTATAAAGGACGTTAATTTTATAAAGTCTTAAAAATTAGTATAACTCGAAAACGGCTAATTTTAGGACAGTAGCTCCTATAGTCAAATCGACTCAGATTGACTTGTACTATCTCCCCCCACCGGCTGCGCATCTATTTTCCCGTCACCCTGTATATTTGAAATCAGAAATCATCTTTTACCAGAAAAGCATCACCTCTCTTAGCGTACTATGGTTTTTTTTTCACAGGTGTCTAGGATTCGATGAAAGTATCTTATTATATCCACATAGCATCATTTTCAGTGTTCCAAAACGTTCGTATACCTGGAGATACTTCATCCGAAGAGCTCCTCCTTAAACGAAATGGCACTTGGACGAAATACCAACAAATATATCACAGACGACGTAGAATTCAAACAGCTCAAACCACCAAACACACTATCACATGCAAACGCACTGATATCCGATCAGCGCATCGAATAATCTCAAAAAAAAACAAAGAAATTCTCAAAAAGCTCACAGTCGGGCGTCTCATTCGCGTCCTATCCTCTTGTGAATCTGCTGGTGTTTGAGTAGGTGCGCTTTCTGCCTGAAAGCCTTCGCGCACGTGTCACACCTGAAAGGCTTCTCGCCCGTATGCGTGCGTAGGTGGACCTTGATGTTGCTCTTGTTGAGGAAACCTCGATTGCATATGCTGCATCGGTGGACAGGTTTTTCTTTGCCTAGGAGGGCGAGGGTTTGGTCACTCTGGAACAAAGAGAACGTCGTTGAGCGACCTAGTCACTTAATATACCATTATTGATGCGTTATTTGGACCGACTAAGGGCCGTATCGTCAGTCGTTGCTACAATAGCAAGGTTCGACATTTTTCGTATTTCTCTTATTTTAATTGAAATCGAGGGATTTTGTTATTAAAAAACGGTCAAAGAAGTTTGAGTGGTATATTCCAGAGCAGAAAGAGTCTTAAAAACTACATTAGTTTTATATAATTATAAAGGGAATTGAAAGACCTTTAAAATAAGATATCACTCGACCTCCCTTTCCATTTAAGATTTTGGGGGTGGTGTCACCCCCGCTTAGGGGGCTGCACGTGCTAACGTGATTTTTTGCCAAACTTGTGTCCCCCTCAAAAACAAAATCGACGGGGCGTTTTTCAAAAAAAAACTGAGCTTCCAGTAAATGCGTCTGTTTCGTTATCGATGCGCCACCCTGTATATCCTTTTACGATCTCATCTAAGATTATGTTGAATGAATTCAAAATGGTCAAATTAAGCTATAGGCGACGTTTGAGTGATGTTTTATTCCTCTACAATGTCTGTAACAACCTAAAGTATGAGAAATGTGATTTATATAAATAGGTATCATCTGTAGTTCCTAAAGTTAAACTAAGAATAAGAAAAAAAAAATGTTAGAGTGTCAAAAGTAAAGTAGCTCTCCTATAAATAGGATGATGTACGAATGTAACATGTGATTTAAACCTTTTTTGTACATCAGTAGGACAAATCAAGGCTGCGTTTCTAAACAGCACATTGCCATTAGTATTATATACTAAGTGACATATAAATCCGAACACCCAGTTTAAATGGTTTTATTTTAATAAAATTTCGTATAAGTACTTAATGAAGCATAATAAGTAAATGATAAAAATTTCAAAATGATTGCACTGCTTTAAAGCCCTTTGACCTTTAATAATGTGTGGATGCACCCTGATGTGCTACGCATTCTCCAACGCGCCTAGGCATGCTTCTGATCAGATGGTCAATGTCCTCCTGTGGTATCTCATTCCAGGCAACCACCAACTCCTCTCGAAGTGCTTCTAGAGTCTGAGGAGGAACGTTGCAAAGTGAGCAATCTCCTACCCATCATATCCCACACGTCCTCAATTGGGGATAAGTCGGGAGATCTTGGTGGCCATGGTAACAATGTGAGATCATTATGTGGAAAGAAGTCTATTGTGACTCTTGCAACATGTGGTCGAGCATTATCTTGTTGGAAAGTTGGATCTGCCAGGGTACCAAGATAGGGGTTCCAGAACTTCGTGGATATAACGTTGCGCGTTCATGTTACCTCTGGTGAAGATTAAAGGTGACCTGGAACCATAAGCTATAGCACCCCAAACCATAACTCCAACAGTGTGATGAACATGTCTTTCAACAAAAAACTGTGGATTCCTCCTTTCTCCACGTCGCCTTCTAACCCTGGCACGACCATCGTGCATGCCTACACAAAATCGAGACTCGTCACTAAAGACAATACTGTTCCATTCCTGATCCCAGAGTGACCGTTGTCTGCACCACTCAAGGCGATTACGTCGGTGTTCTCGAGTTAAAGGGAGGACCCAGTGTGGCCGGTATGAAAACAAGCCAAAACTTCTCATTCGTCGGTAAACACTTCGCATGCCAATAGGTCTTCCGTGTTCTGCAAACCATTCATTTGCAATGGACCTGGTAGTGGAGAAACGGTCCCTTAAGGCCAATAATCTTAGGCGGCGATCTTCACGGTCTGTTGTTCTACGGCGGCGTCCAGTGCCCCTTGCTCTTTGCGTACGGCCTTCTCGAAGCCATGCCTGACAACACCTAACCACAGTGTCTACACTTCTTTGCACTCTAACTGCAATTGCCCGAAAAGAAAGTCCAGCTTCCCGAAGTCCCACTATACGGCCCCTATCAAACTCACTAAGTTGACGAAATCGTACAGGTCTCCGTACTCTAGGCATCGTAACCGATCGTAAAGGATGTCAAAAACCAAAATCCGCCAACGTTGATTCTTTACTGTGACTGAAATATTCATTTTTAGAGCGTTAGTGAATTAAAAAAAAGCAGTATAAAAACCGAAATGTCCAACTGATAAGGCTGAAAATTTTTTCACTTGTTATTTACAGTAAGATAAATATATTCACCAACTTTTATTAAAATAAAACCATTTAAACTAGGTGTTCGGATTTATATGTCACTTAGTATATACTATTTTATATATTATATATATTTTATCTCTGTTTTGCATTTTAAAATGTTGTTTTGTCTTTGTAATTTATTTTTTAGTAAGGACTCTTACATTTAAATACATTTGTATGTATTTGTAGGAGGGTAAATAAATAAATAAATTATTTAAGTAAAACGTTTTAACAATACGGACGCGTTGTGGGATCGTCATGGTGAATTGGACACATGTGCTTCAAACAACTACTACGGCGCCACCCACTGGAATTCGTCTATCAATATTGGCCACCCTGTAGTTTGTAATGGCATTGAGTAAATATATTAAACATCGTGATTTACGCCAATGACTGTGAAAGACAAATATCCTTTTCTCTTTTGCTAAGGTTAAATAATTTTTGAGTGAATAATACGAGTTTTGAACCGCGACAAAGAGATGCAATTCGTGACAATATGGTTGTAATAATAAAAATTCGATATTGATTATCTGATCTGATTATAATCACCTAATAGTGGGGCTTCCTCAAGATAGCATCTTGTGTGTCTTGTGAATCCCTTGGTGCTTGATGAGGTGTGCTTTCTGCCTGAAAGCCTTCGCGCAGGTGTCGCACCTGAAAGGCTTTTCGCCAGTGTGCGTACGCAAATGCACTTTGATGTTGCTCTTGTTGAGGAAGCCTCGATTGCAAATGCTACATCTATGGAGAATTTTTTCTTTGCCTAGCATGCCAAACGACTGATCACTCTGCAACAAAGATATCCACTATGAATTTTCATCGACAAAATAAATTTAGCACTTTTTATAACAGGCACTCGTTAGTCGTTTTTTCATCAGCAATTCCATTTTTACGGCTAACAGATATCCACTGCAAAGGTTAAAAAGTTATTTAAAATTTAATTTGAACAAAATTTTGTTAGTCCATGTCAGTGCAACATCAGAATTAAACGTTGGTCCAGGGTTTCTTGTCTGATCGATCGTTGTAATCTCCTTAATCTTGTGATAGCAGTCGATATTTTAGATCTAAAACTAAATGGATTGTGCTTTTTACACCCCGTTAGCATCGCTCTCTGGTAAATAGGTGTATGTGCTCTTATTTTACTGCTCCGTTATATTTTCGTTATTCTAAGTTTGCGCAGTCGCGAGGCGATCCATTATAGAAATAAGAAAATCCGGCAGTTAAGGAGAATGAGGACGAGCTTATTTAGCGATTTTGCCAGAATTTGTAAATATGGAAAAGTTTTATTAAGGTAGTTTCAAGTTATAAGAACGTATTACAGGGTGTCCCAGAAATAACACGCTAGAGTGATACAGGAGGTAGATTAGCTTGGCTATGATTTTTTTTTCTGGGCTACCATTAATAGTTGATTTAGACAACAGATATTCATTTCACTGAAAATTAACACGGTATGCTAAAAAAACAAATGGATTATTACATTTGGCTTTAGTGCGAAAACCTTTACTATAAAGTTTAACTAATTACTGTGAAAAAACTTAGCACTTATATATATTACATATACATTATATAATTACACAGAGTGGTTCTATCTCTTATTAGTGTATGCATTTTTTTTTTACCTGTATGAATGCGGAGGTGCTACCGAGGTTTTTGTAAATTATAAGTCCGGTAGTAATCGACGATCCCACAAATATTGTCTCCGAATGTAACCAAAATCTATGCAGCCGTTACTGAGATTCAGCAGTGATAGTGAAAATGATGATCCTGAGTCTTGAAATTGCAATATAAAAATGCTCCTTCAGAATGATCTTCTGTAGGGCTTGGAAAGAAAAATCTGATAGAGACCTTGTTCATGACCTCGGAAATGACCTTCAAGCTGCTTTAAAGGTCATCTTGAAAATTTTAAACATAACATGCATCTTTTCGAAATTTCCAAAGAAAGGAGCTCAAAATTTTGCCATGACCTTCACAGTCTTGAAGGTCATGCAGAGGTCAAAGTGACCTATAATAAGGATTGGGTTGTCTTTGACCTTGCAGGTAGAAGAATACAACTTAACGTTCAGAAATCACCTTGACCGTGACCCTCACCTTTACCTTCAAAGTCATTTCGGAGTCACTTTAGAAATTTTCAATGATACGATTATTTTCTAACCCCTCTGACATAAATAGCTGGCAATCGTTCTGAAATGACTTTGCGCAATTCTATCTACGGTTTCATTTTAAATGTTTGAATTGACCTATAAATGACCTTGTAGGCTATGGTTTCATTGGTGGATCAAAAAGATGAGCCTCTATTCACCCTTTTCCAAGGACGACCATTAGACTGTTCTTTCAAAACCACGCAACTTTTGTGTGTGTATTTTCTGATATAACTTTTTTCACACCCTGTACGATGACAACAATACAGAACCGTTCATACTTACCGTATGAAAGACGTTGGAGCTAGTGGGCTGTTGCGGCTTCTTCTGCCTCCTACTGCCACTCTTTTTCGTTGGTACCGAGGTGGTGGTGGTGGTAGTGTGCGGGTAGTTCTGTCCGAGCATCTCCGGACTTCGTATCCGGTGGTCCTCGCTCAAGCCGTGGATGCTGTACTGAGGAAAGATGCGGCCGTTCACTGTGACCAGGAGGTTGTCGGTCGTCGAGACTACGTTTGCCTGGAAAGAAGACAGATTTTGAACCGCCAGCTTAATACCAAAATTAAATGACTTGGCACGAGCGCTAACTTATTTTACAGGTCCTGAAACAATCTGCGATGTCGAATCCGGCCCTATATTAATCGGAGGATAATTAAGATCTTGACGAAGCAACTGCCGTTTTAATCAACGATCAATTAGTGTTCCGGATATACCGCTATGCAGATGCCGATTAGTCATTTATTTTGCAACTAGCGACTTGGTCAACAGATGACGTTTCGAATCTGGTCAAGTGCCTGAATGATTTGTGGTATGACATTTTTAATGTGGTTCTTGAGAGAGAAAGTTTGAATTCATTTACAATACACGGTTGAGTTGGACGTAAAAATCTCTGCCAATACTTTGAAGCAGATGTTGGGAATCATCAGTCGTTAGGTTAATATAGCTCTGAACGAATGAAACTTGGTATCTCTCACTAATTTCTCTTATCTTTTTGGTGATTACCTGACACTGTATGTCACTTGTATGTGAGGATCATACGAAAGCAATTGTCAGTTGCAAGTTTGGGTTAACCTAATTGTTAATTAAGGGTTAATTTTCAGTCACAGCTGGCAATTAGCTATAATGGCAAGTTACAGGCTTCACTTAGCTATAATTGTCAATTACAAGTTGTAGCTGGCTATAATTATTAGCTATAATTATCAGTTATACGTTCCAATTAGCTACAATTGCAACATTTAAGCTTCAATTAGCTGTAATTGTCAGTTACAGGGTGCAATTAGCTATGATTGTCTGTTACAAGTTTCAGTTAGTTATAGTTGTCAGTTACAAGTTGCAATTAGCTATAATTATCAATCAGTTCAAACTTTCGGTTAGCTATTATTGCCTGTTACAAGATTCAGTTAGCTATAATTGTCAGTTACAAGTGACAATTAGCTATAGTTGTCAGTTACGGGTTTGAGTTAGCTATAACTGTCCGTTATAAGTTAGAATTAGCCATAACTATCAGTTACAAGTTGCAGTTAGCTATAATTGTCAGTTACGAGTAGCAATCAGCTATCATTGTCAGTTACAAGTGCCAGTTAGCTATAATTGTGTCAGTTACAAGCTGCGATGAGCAACAATTGTCATTTACATGTTTTGGTTGGCTGTAATTGACAGTGCTGAGCTGCAATTTGCTACAATTGTCAGCTACAGCTTACGGTCAGCTATAATTGCAAGTTACAGGCTTCAGCTGGCTATAATTGTCAATTACAAGTTTTAATTGGCTATAAGTATTATTTGCTAGCGAAAGCTAGCTATAATTGTCAGTTACACCTTGCAGTTAACTATAGCTGTCAGTTTTAAGTTTCAGTTAGTTCTAATTATCAGTTGCAAGTTGCAATTAGCTATGATTGTCCGATACAAGATTCAATTAGCTATGACTGTCCGATACGAGTTTCAATTAGCTATAATCGTCAGTTACCGGTTACAATTAGCTATATTTGTCAATCAGTTAAAACTGTCTGTTAGCTATAATTGCTTGTTACACGTTTCGATTAGCTATGATTGCAACCTTTAACTTTAAATTAGCTGTAATTGTCAGTTACAGGTTGCATTTAGCTATGATTGTCTGATACAAGTTTCCGTTAGTTACATTTGTCGTTACAAGAAGCAGTTAGCTATAATTATCAATCAGTTAAAACTTTCGGTTAGCTATAATTACCTGTTATAAGTTTCAGTTAGCTATAATTGTCAGTTACAAGTGACCATTAGCTAAAGTTGTCAGTTACGACTTTGAGTTAGCTATATCTGTCCGTTATAAGTTAGAATTAGCCATAATTATCAGTTACAAGTTGAGGTTAGCTATAATTGTCAGTTACGAGTAGCAATCAGCTATCATTGGTGGTTACAAGTTCCAGTTAGCTATAATTGTCAGTTACAAGCTGCGATGAGCAACAACTGTCATTTACATGTTTCAGTTGGCTGTAATTGACAGTGCTGAGTTGCAACTTGCTACAGCTTACAGTCAGCTATAATTGCAAGTTACAGGCTTCAGCTGGCTATAATTGCAAGTTACAGGCTTCAGCTGGCTATAATTGTCAATTACAAGATGTAATTGGCTATAAGTATTATTTGCTAGCGAAAGCTAGCTATAATTGTCAGTTACACGTTGCAGTTAACTATAGCTGTCAGTTTCGAGTTTCAGTTAGTTCTAATTGTCAGTTGCAAGGGGCAACTAGCTATAAATGGCAGTTACAGCTTGCTATTACCTATAATTGCCAGTTACAAGTTTCAATTAGCTATAATTTTCAGTCACAGCTGGCAATTAGCTATAATGGCAAGTTACAGGCTTCACTTAGCTATAATTGTCAATTACAAGTTGTAGCTGGCTATAATTATTAGCTATAATTATCAGTTATACGTTCCAATTAGCTACAATTGCAACATTTAAGCTTCAATTAGCTGTAATTGTCAGTTACAGGGTGCAATTAGCTATGATTGTCTGTTACAAGTTTCAGTTAGTTATAGTTGTCAGTTACAAGTTGCAATTAGCTATAATTATCAATCAGTTCAAACTTTCGGTTAGCTATTATTGCCTGTTACAAGATTCAGTTAGCTATAATTGTCAGTTACAAGTGACAATTAGCTATAGTTGTCAGTTACGGGTTTGAGTTAGCTATAACTGTCCGTTATAAGTTAGAATTAGCCATAACTATCAGTTACAAGTTGCAGTTAGCTATAATTGTCAGTTACGAGTAGCAATCAGCTATCATTGTCAGTTACAAGTGCCAGTTAGCTATAATTGTGTCAGTTACAAGCTGCGATGAGCAACAATTGTCATTTACATGTTTTGGTTGGCTGTAATTGACAGTGCTGAGCTGCAATTTGCTACAATTGTCAGCTACAGCTTACGGTCAGCTATAATTGCAAGTTACAGGCTTCAGCTGGCTATAATTGTCAATTACAAGTTTTAATTGGCTATAAGTATTATTTGCTAGCGAAAGCTAGCTATAATTGTCAGTTACACCTTGCAGTTAACTATAGCTGTCAGTTTTAAGTTTCAGTTAGTTCTAATTATCAGTTGCAAGTTGCAATTAGCTATGATTGTCCGATACAAGATTCAATTAGCTATGACTGTCCGATACGAGTTTCAA